GACCCCCTCTGGGCACAGAGATCCAATATTGCAATTCTTCAGTTCGATCTCCACTACTACAAAAAAGAATAGATTGAAAGAAAAAAGAAAGGGAAAAAAAAAAAACAGAAAGAAAAGAAGATTCCAAGGCTGCCTGTAGGCTCAAAAGGGAAAAGAGGATCATGATTGATTAATAATGTCTGCTGAGTACAGGATATGAAAGGGGCTATAAATTTCAATTTAGTCATGTACTTTAATTAAATCATCTATTTTAATTTGGAAAGAAAGGCAAAACATTTTCAGCAAGGACCCAGAAGAACAGGAAGGAACCAAAACCAAATATTCTAGCTCACCAAGTACTAAGCACTGAAATAACTCAAAGTCATAGAATGTGACAGGCTCTGAGTCTAAGGGAGTTGGACAAGACTTTCTGGCTGAGGTGACTGATAAGCTAATTCCTTAAGATGTGGAACCCAGCCAGACAAAAGGGGTGGGCTGGAGGGCGGAGAGATTCACCAAGCAAACAGTCCGTGGCTTGGTGCCATGTGTGGGGTTGCAAGCCCTTTTGAAAGCTCAGACTTCAGGAGAGGGTAGTAGGGAGCCGCTGAGGCTTCTAGGCCAGGAGTGGTAAGTCTAAAGGACATTTAAGTCTCCCTGTCTCTTCATCAACTGTTAAATGCACCAGGACTGCTGCATAGTTGACCTGAAAAAAAAAAAAATTCGAAAGCAGACTTCACAGAACTCAGTCTTGCAAACCGATCGTCAGGTGAGATCTCATTACGGGGTCAAAGAAGAGAAAAAAGCTGGATAAAGCTCTGACCTCTAAGTAGATGTAGTAAAACCTGTACAACTGGAGATTCGGGCTAGGGATACGGAGTAAGGCAAGCCCAAGATGATGAACAGGTCTGAGCCAGATGAGCGGGAGGCTGAAGCGCAGCCCACACCCTGGGAAACACAAAGAATCAGTGTGTACCAAGCCCAACTAGTGCTGTCACAAACCACACCCTGCACAGGCTAAAGAAATGCACCTTCCCCACCAGGTTAAAAGCCTTCACGCCCTGGCATGCTGTCACCACGCTTCTAAAAAACGAGATATGTAGAAAGACCTGTGCAAGAAACATGCACAAAGATGTTTATTACAGCACTGTCTACCAGAATGAAAAATAAGAAGCACTCTGAGTGTCCAACAGTTGGGGACAGTTTAAATACATGGTAGCCACCTTCAAACATGCACTCTTAAGCAGGTATGAAAAATGATGACTGACAGGGAAAGATAGTCATGCTATATTGCTAAATAAAGCAAGGCATGTATTTTTTTCAAAGATAGACATGCATGCATGTACAAGGCAGCTACTCTGAAATCTAGAGGAGTCTTTTCCTAAGAACCTTACTTCAAAAGGATGTGGGAGGATTAATGAACAAATCATGGAACGTGGCATATAGTTAAGTGCTCAATAAATTGCAGGCATGCTTAGCTTTTACTCAATTTTCCTTCAATGAATAGGTCTCCCTGGTAGAATTAAATGCTTCTTCTAAAACACAGCTTTTGGGGCTGGGGAGATAACTCAGCGATCTAAACTCCTACCTGGCAAGTGCAAGGACTAGAGTTTGATCCTGGGTACTGCATGCCATGCTGGTCCCGAAACTGGGCGTGGTGGTGCACACCTGTAATCCCAGTGCTGGGGAGGCTGAGACAGGAGGATCACTTTGAGTCTGGGCTGCATAGTGAGACCCTGTACTAAGTAAATAAATGATTAAAAATAAATGGATGAGGGGCCTGGCCTTAGCTCAGTTGTTTAAGTGGCTGCTTCCACAAAGCTGTCAGCCTCAGGTTGCTGTAGTTCGATCCCCACAACTCTCCAGCCAGCCAAACCAGCCAAACCAGCCATGAGGGCATTCGGAGCAAAAAAAAAAAAAACAAAAAAAAACCTTATGGGCTGGTGAGATGGCTCAGTGGTCTAAAGCACCTACTTAGAACAAGCTTAGCAAAGCACAGGGACCACGGTTCAATCCCCCAGCACCACATGCCAGCCAGCCCCGCCCCCTGGTGGGCTGAGCTGGCCACACACACACACACACACACACACACACACACACATAAATAAAATTAAAAAAAAATCTTTAAAAATAAATGGATGAATAAAAATAAAAAAATAAAACACACCTTTTATTTAAAAAATAAAACACTGCATCTATATTTCTAAAGCAATAGCTCTCAATGAGGGGCGATTATGCTTCCCTGCAGAGCACAGTTGTCACAACTTTAGGACACGGGGTGCTACCTCATAGGCAGAGGCCTGGGATGCTACCGAGCACCTTAGGAAGCACAGAGCAGCCCCTCAAGCGTGATCCAGCTCCCATAGTTGCCAGTGTCACTATGGAACAAAACCCTGATTTGGAACAAACTGTCACGGCAAACCTCTCACACTGCCTGCACCCAATGCTCCTGACCACGTCCACTGGAGAGACACAGGCATCACCCAGTCCACCTAGGCAACCAGACAGATGCTCCCTAATAAACACACAGCCCTGGAGAAAAGGCAAGGGAGAAGCATCTTGCCTCAAACACAGGAGTCTTAAACCCTCAGGAAAGTTTCTTCCAAGTGATTATCGCTTTTTTGTTTGTTTCCTCTTGCTTTGCTTTGTTTTATTACTTTCTTGCTTTTTTTTTTTTTTTTTAAAGTGTGCTAAAAATTCCCCTCTTCTGGGGAACAATAAGACAGCCCTGGTGGGCAGAGCTGGGTAGAGTTTAACCCTTCATGAGCCGACCCCACTGAGGCTTTGTCTCAACGGTGCGTCTGTGTGCAGCTGCGCCACCCACAACACAGCAACAGAACAGAAACAAGGCCCCTTAGATAGATACCAGGAAAAGGGAGGTGGGGATGCCCTTCTTCCAGGCTCCAGCTGTCACCTCTCCCTGTCCTCCCAAACCACCCAGACCACTACATCCAACCATGGTGCCCCCCAGCACAGAACTGCTGAAGATAAGGGGGAACACACACCTCTGTTGAAGATAAGGGGGAAAAGGCTGCAGAGTCCTCTACTTCTGCAGAAACCTTCAGTCCTCTACTTTGGCACTGCTGACACTTGGGCCCAGGTCATTCTTTGGGGTGCAAACACAGTGCTGTGCATTGTGGGATGCTTAACAACTCCCCTGGAGCACCCTGGTGCATCCAGTGGCCTCCACTGTGCTGACAAACAAAAATGTCCCCAAAATTACCAGATGTCCCCTACAGGACAAACGTGCCCTCGGCTGAGACCCTCTGGCTTAGATTCTGGATCCCTGTCCAGGGCAAGCTGGCTCTGACTTGGAAATACTCATAATACCAAAAAGGAAACAAATAAATAACATAATCTGTTAGAAAAATAACACAGCAATGCTGAAAGCCAGTTAGCTCCCAAGCTCCAGCCTGTGATGCGACCACTTCAAGCTGAGCTAATATGCAAGTTTTGTACATTCCACAGTATTGGCTGAGCCCCTGCTATGTGCGGGACACCACTCCAGGAACTGGGGACACAGATGTGGATGGAAACGACAGAGACTTGTTCTCAGGTTGCTGACCCAGGTCTGACAGGCACAAACCCGACAAGTGCACTCCCCCAGCACTGATTAATCACCTACTGTGGAAAGGAACCAGACAGCCTCCAGGAACTCACTGATATAAGACCCCTCCCGAAGCCCAGCTAACATCCACTTGGCACTTACAGGCCCCAGCGCTATACACACACACACACACACACACACACACACACACACACACACCTTCCTTTGCTCCTGGCTAATGAGATTGGCCTCTTCATTTCACGGATGGGGACACTGAGTTCCAAGAGGTGGGGAAGGAAAACTAGGATACAACTCAGCCTGGCTGCGACCAGGCCTGTGGGAACTGCTGCCCTCAACACGCTCTGGTAGCCCGCTAGGGCCATGGTGAGACTGCCCTGGGTGCCAAGTCTCTGCAGCCCAAGTCACTCTTGAGTTCTCCCTGTTTGCGGGCTTTGGCTAGATTCTGCCCAGGAGGCTGGTATCTTCCTGCAGGGCCACCAAGTGAACAGCCAGGGCGGGGCACTGGGAGAGTCCCATAGGCAAGTGAAAGCAGAAGCTCGGGTTGCAACCGTTACTGTAGGGAAAGGCAAAGAGGGCAGGGGCAGATGGCACTGGCTTCTGTTTCCCATTTTCCATCCAGGGCCTGACCTGAGCTAGGGGAGGGGGGGAGGACAGGAAGTCTGAAGCTGGCTTAGGGCCCACCTTCCCAGTGCCCCATGACCTCTTCAACATCAGCCTAAATGCCCTAAACGAGAAAGGGTCTCATACCAAGCACTTTTGAGTATAACATCACCCTACAAAACAGTTCCCCTCACCCTGCCTCTTGTCCTATAACGCAGAAAAATTTTAGGTGACTTCCCTTAGAAAAGAGCCCTAGACTTTTGCAACTCTACCTTCAAAAATCCCCCTCGCTACCCTTGGAGATGGTGGTGAGCATCTCTACTCCAAAAAGTGGAAATGCTGCGAAAAAGGTTCACAGGTCTCCATGAGGGAGAGGCGGAAGAGGAACAGAGGATTCATTCATTTTAAAGGCCCTTCCCTTGAGGAGATGAGAAACATTCAGGAAGGGAGGAACGATGGGGTGAGCCATAAAGAACCTAGGAAGAGAAGGGGGAGGTTTCGGAGGCAGGGTAGAGGATAGCAGCATGCCTGGGGAGATACGAGAGTTGAGGGAGTTTGAGGGAGATGGGCAACTGGGGATGCATGAAGGAGTGGAGGACTGGGTTGTATCTGAGGGACAGGGAGGAATCGGAGGTATCTGGGGGAGATGGAAGACTTGGCTGGGTGTGGGAGAAGGTGGAAGACAGGCCATGTTTAGAGGGGGAGAATTTGGGGCTGGTCTGGGGTAGGATGCATTTGGGGTGCGAGCAAAGAAAGGAGATCCGGGACTCAGCTAACAGGTCTTAGGGTATGTAGGGGAGGAGCGTTTGGGGGATAATCAGGGAACAAGCCAGCTCCCACCCCCACCCCGGCTCACCGAAGAAGGGCGGCAGGTGGGACACCGCCTCCAGGAAGGGCCCTGTCTCGATCTGCTTGTCCGCGGGCAGCGGCTTCAGCAGGTGCTCCGCCAGCAGCGCCATTTCGGGGTCGAGGCCCGCGGTGATGCCCCAGCCCGCCCCGCGGGCGTCCACGCCACCCCCCGGGTCAGCGCCGTCAGCGCCCGGCCCGTCACTGCCGCCTTCCGTAGGCTCCGGGGACGCCAGCGTCGCCACTTCCGCCAGTGCCCGGCCCTCGTAGCCGAGGGCTCAGCGCCGCCCGCCGGCGGAGCGCCTAAGCTGCCTGGCGCGCGGCCCCGCCCCACCCGCGCACACCCAATCCGCGCCCGGCGCCGTACCAGCCTGTCCAATCCACGCCTGCCTGCGGCGGCCTCCGCGCTGCCATTGGTCCGGGGGCGGGGCTCTGTAGAAGCCCGCGGCTCTTGGGTCCAGGTCCGCCCAAGGGAGCCGCTCCCTCGTAAGCCTTTCTAAGGTGTGACTCCCACCGCCCTCAGTTTGGCTCCAAACCCTGGAGGACGTCTCCTCCCCTCCAGGTCCTCGGTCACACAACCCACGCAGCGTCCACGTTATGTTCCGTCCCAGCCAGCGCTCCTCAGGAGTTCCTGCTTCTCCTCAAACGGGGTCTGTCGTCCTACAATTCCTAGTGATCTTGTTAGCCAAGACCGGGGTTATGGTTCTCCTTAGCTGCAACCAAAAGAGACTCTGGAGTGCTTGATTCTTCCCTTCAGTAACCTCATACCTGGGGGCCCGGCTTAGGTCCCAGGCTATCTCAGCCACTGCGCGACTGGATTCCTGTTTCACCAAATCAGGGGTCCAATCAGACCTCCACAGTCTGAGATTACCTGGCGGGCCAAGCCCAGTTTATAATCCAACTCAACCACCTGTTTGACGGGCTCATTTCCCAACTCTGACATCGGGCCAGCTGCCCGGGAGTATGCTTCTCATAACCCAATCACAGTCACCTGTCCACAACCCCCTAATGCTTCTGTCCTAAAACCAGTGGCCAGTTTACCTAAAAATCTAGTGCACTGTTGTAGAGAGCCTCTTAATTCATTCCAGAATAAAAATCCTTTGCTTTTTTTTTTTTTTTTCTTTAGACAGGGTCTCACTATGCAGTTCAGGTTGGTCCAGAACTCACTTCATACCCCAGGATGGCCTCAAACTCAGAATGTTCCTCCTGCCTCTGCCTTCTGAGTGCTGGAATTACAGGCATGTACCACCACACCCGGCTCCAGAGTAAAATTCATTGCACCCCTACTATGCATCTTGTTCTGTGCTATCCTTGAAGCAATAAGAAATATGGCAAAATTCTTTCTGCCTTTGAGGAGCTGACATTCTAGTGAGGAGCACAGTACAAAGAAATATGCAAATAAGATCTGTTCCGACACTACTGAGCAAGACTGAAAAAAGCCAAACGGTGGAATGAGAGCGGAATGTAGCTTCGGAGAATGACAAGGGGTGATCAAGACTACTGCTTCAGGGGGATGGAATGTAGGAGTCAGGGGCAGAAGCTCTGAAGAAATGACACATGAGCTGACATCTGAGAAAGTGGAAAATACCCGGGTCAAAGATTTAGGGGAGCGGCTGGGGAGACAGCTCAGTAGAGTAAGTGCTTGCCTGGCAAGCTCAAGGGCTTGAGTTCAATCCCCGATTGGGGGGGGGAGATTTAGGGGAGGCACACAGGTAAGGCCTTAGGGCAGGGACGGCCTTGGTGCGAACAGGGAATCAAAGGGACCAGGAGAGGGGATGGCAGAGGAGTAAGCTAGGGATAGAGATGAGTAGGGACATAGGAACAGGTCAGAGGGGTGAGCAGGGGTAGGGGGTGGTCGTGCTTGCATTCTAGGATAAAAGCAGTGAGAAATTGCCTGTGCCAGAAAAAGTAACTGCCAAACTTTATATTTTAATTCAGTGGTTCAGGGTTCAGATAAGAGATTATTTGAAACCAAGCACATAACCCAGATAGAATCAGGAAATGACAGGGCCTGGGAGAGACAAAACCTCATTGCATCTTGCACACAATCCAGACCATAACATGTCCCATCAAGCCAAATCTCCCACTGCTAGGATCCCAAGCCATTAACCTTGGCTTGTTCTCACCCCGCCCAACCCCACAGCCAGGGGCCTCCTCGATACTATCTCCTCCTCAGAGCTTGACTTCCCTGCGTGGCCTGGCTAGCCCACCAGCACTCCAGGCCAGAACTCCACCCACCTTCCCGAGGCCTCTTCCATCTCGACAGAGAGATCACGGCTCATGTGGGGACCTCACGTCAGATGAAGTCCTTGTTTTCAACTTGTTCCATCAAGGCATGCCATTCAGAATCCACGGCTTGATACAAGAAGAATCTT